AACAGAGCACTGGGATTCATGGGCCAGGTCTCCCCCCGTCCCTTCCCGTCATCCCTCCCTCCCTTCCTCCCTTCCTTCCTCTGTCCCTCCCTCCCTCCCTCCTTCCTTTCCTTTCCCTCCTTTTCCTCCCTCCCTTTCCTTCCTTCCTTTCCTCTCCCTCCCTTCCTTCTTTCCTTCCTCTCTCCCTCCTTTCTCCTTCCTTTCCTTTTCCCTCCCTCCCCTCCTTTCTTCCCTCTCCTCCCTCCCTCCCTTCCCTTCCTTCCTTCCTTCCTTCCTTCCTTCCTTCCTTCCTTCCTTCCTTCCTTCCTTCCTTCCTTCCTTCCCTCCCTCCCTCCCTCCCTCCTTCCTTCCTTCCTTCCTTCCTTCCTTCCTCTCTCCCTCCCTCCCTCCCTCCCTCCATTCCTTCCTTCCTTCTTCCATTCTCTTCATCTTCTCTAGAGACCCATCCTTGGGCTACTGGAGGCTGCTTTTCCTGCAGACACCAGAACAGCCTGGAAATTTACATCCCTGGGTGTCCTCTAACAAGTGACTAAGGGTGTGGGGGTGTGGAGGGCTGGGACCATGTCGGTGATTCCTGCGAGATCAGGCTGAAGCCTCCTCTGTGAGGCTGGACTTGAGGCTGAATCCCTGAGGGCCTCCTCATTCCCCCTGCCCTGCCCGCCCAGTCCCTTACCAGCAGCCCCTGGGAGCACTTTCTTGGCAAATCCTTGTCTCAGGGGCTGCTCCTGAGGAGCCCAACCTGAGACACCTGCTTTACTGTTTTGCAGTCACTTACCACTACTTGACATGATGTCATGCTTCCATGTATTCACTGTCTGTCTCCCTCCACTAGAATATGAGCCTCATGAGGGCAGGGACTTGATCTGTTTTGTTTAACTGTGCACACCCAGGCTGGAGCTGTGTTTGGCATACAGTAGGTGTCCAAAAGATATTTTGTGGGATAAATATTCTCAATTAATTCTCACAATGACCCTATGAAATGAGAATTATTATCCCCACTTTACAAATGAAGAAATAGTTTCAAAGACGTTTAATAACTCACCTTGGCTACACAGGTTGTGCGTGGCACAGCCAGGATGCCAAACTCTGCCTGTGTATCTCCAGACCAAAGCTTCGGCTTTAAAACCTGACCCCATGTTTGTAGTTTCCAGAACATTCCAGGCTTTGTCGCACCTCCTCAGTGAGGCTGAAGCTGCTTCTTTGGCAAAGAAATGCTCCCCTGACACCCCCCAACCCCCACAGTACCCTTTGAGACCTTTGCATCCCTATGGTTCCTAGACAGATTACTGATGGCTATTTCTTATGTTTCTTTTCTCTTTCCTGTAATTATTTGGGATAAGACTTCATCTTGCATCTTTGCTTCTCCAGCACCTAGTTAGAGCCTGGCAGAAGGCCAGCAATCTGTGAATGTTTGTTGAATGAAAAAAAAGGAAGGAAGGGAGAGAGGGAGAGAGGGAGAAAGGGAAGAAAGGAGAGAGAGGAAGGGAGAGAGACGTTCTGTGCTATGAGAGGGCAGAGGGTGTGAGCCCCACACGGACAGGGAAGGCTGTGCTGGGATGTTGTGTTGTGCTGGGATGTTGTGGGAAGCCAGGGGAGTTGGCTACATCCTGGGCCCTCTTGTTATGTGGTGTGGTTGGGACAGCTCTGAGCAGTCACCTTTTTTTTTTTTTTTTTTTTTTTTTTTTTGAGATGAAATTTCGCTCTGTTGCCAGGCTGGAGTGCAGTGGTGCGATCTTGGCTCACCGCAACCTCTGCCTCCTGGGTTCAAGCAATTCTCCTGCCTCAGCCTCCCGAGTAGCTGGGACTACAGGTGCATGCTACCATGCCCAGCTAATTTTTGGCATTTTTTTTTTTTTTAGTAGAGACAAGGTTTCACCATGTTGGCCAGAATAGTCTCCATCTTTTGACCTGGTGATCCTCCTGCCTTGGCCTCCCTAAGTGTTGGGATTACAGGCATAAGCCGCTGTGCCCGGCCTTGACTGGCCACCTTTTTAAGCTCTGGGCCCAGCCTTAGGGCAGAAGCAGGATGTATCCTGGAAGCCAGCACCCAGTCTTATACCTAGTAAGGTCCTAGTAAGTGCTGAATGAATGACTGGGTGACAGCGTGGTGTGAAAAGCAGATTTGATTTGGAGTCTGAGTCTGAGATTCAAGTCCTGATGGCCTCTTTCCCAGCCTTTCCTCTCTATTCTCTGGTAGCTGCCTTGGTTCAGGTATCATGTGTCTGCCCAGATATCATCTCTCCTGAGGCTGCTGCTTAAATTAGCCTCTTGCAAGAGGAATTGCCATGTCTCTCCTTTCCTGGTTTAGCAAATCTTATTTGTAAGGTATAGTCAGACTCTACAGGCTCATCCTTGTGCATCTGTGGGCAACAGGGCACTGGGATTAATGGGCCGGGGCTCTGTGCTTCAGCCTATGAGGCTCTTCAGACAGTGCGGAGATAAGATGGATGGCCCCTGGGGACCATCTCCCTGGGCTTCAGTCTTACTTCCGTTACTTTCTGGCCACATGGCTTTCAGATGGTCGCTTAACTTTTCTCTCTCTCTCTCTTTCTCCCAGGCTCAAGTGAGCCTCCCAAGTAGCTGGGACTACAGATGTGTACCACCATATCCAGCTAATTAAAAAAAATTCTTTATAGAGGGGTCTCATTATGCTCCCCCAGGCTGGTCTCAAGCACCTGGGCTCAAGTGATCCTCCTGCCTTGGCCTCCCAAAGTGCTGGGACTATAAGCATGAGCCACGGTGACCAGCTGACTTCTCTTTAACTATATTGTTTCACAGTAACATGGAGATCATGACAGTAGCTCTGTAACTGGGATGTTGTACATGTTCGATAAGCTTAGGATGGTGCCTAGCACACACGTTGGCTGTCAGATGATAACCCCTCTGGTCAAATCAGTCACTGTTTTGGTAGCACCTCTCCCAAACCCCTTGCCACTCCCTGCTCGAGTGATCCAGAACAACCTGTGATTTCCCAAACACTCCAGGTCGTCTCATGCCAGGGTACCTTGGCTCATGCTGTCCCTTCCTGGGATAGAAAAATCTTAGTCATCCTTCACATCCCAGCTCAGATGCTGCCTTTATGCCTATGAAGACTTTCTGGACTCTCCCAGGACATCCTGGAGGCTCTCTCTGCAACCTCTGCATTGGGTACTGAGACAATAATCTGATGGCATTGGAATAGCCTGCTCATCAGTCTGTGTGCCTTCAAGCTTCAGGCCTATTCCTAAGCCATTTAGCTAGCCCCCAATACGAATGGACCTTGGTGAAGATCCAATATTGTAAAAACGTAAATTTTCCCAAAATTAATCTATAAATTCAGTAAAGTCCCAATAAAAACTTAACAAGAGTTCTAAAAATGTAACTTTACAAGCTAATTCTAAAAGTCATCTTAGAAGAAAAAATGTACAAGAATAGTCAAACAAATTTTGACACAGCAAGAACAATGAGGAAGACACAGCCCTTCCACATACAAATATTTACTATAAAGTGATTAATGCAGAGTGATAGTGGTGTAATTCAATCAATGGGACAGTAAAGAAACAGATCCATGGAAATGTAGTGTATGCTAACGGGGCATTTTTAAACCAGTACAAAAGGACTGCTATTCAAAAACGGTTTGGGAGCAATGATTTGGGGACAACAGATTTCCCACTGGGAAAAATTAACTTAGATAATATATTGGTGATGGCTTTGCTTCCTGCAAAGAGAATCTATTCTAAATATTTTAATCAGAAAGGAATTTATGGAAGGTACCCATAGCAGTCAGGGTTGTAGGAGGCATTGAAGAAAAAGACTTTAGTTGAACTTACCAGACACATTTCCAAAGTCACAATGCAGAACTGAGCCACTGATGGAGATGATGTCTGCTACAGTCTGGAAGCTGCCAGACAGTAGGAAGTTTTTGCCATGGATGTTGTTCTGAGACCACACACCTCTACCAGGATCTGTGCTAATAAAATGGTGGTGGTGCTAGCTTTTTCTCCAAATAACTTGAAGCTTCATGTCAGTTGTATCTGCTTAGGTCCCCAGGAGGCAGACATCAAGATGGAGTTTAAGAGGGTAAGAGGTGCGTTGTGATACTGTCCGTGTAAGGGAAAAGGGAGAGGGAGCAGAAATAGCAGGGAAAGTCTTCTGACTGTAACACAGTTATGACACCTGTGAAAGGAAAGAGAGAAGGAAGAAGCGATGGCCAGAAAAGGCCTCAGACTCTGGTGAAGCTCTGAGGAAAGTCTTGGCTACCACAAAGATTGCCCATAAAGAAGTCTCATGGTGGGAAGAATTGGCTATGCCCTAGTTTCCTCTCTGTGCTCAGTCATTGGCTTGGAGCTGTAATGGACCCTGAAGACATCTAACCAGGGGACTCTTCATTACATCTGGAATTCTAGGGCATGAGGGGAATCTTTGCAATACAGGAAGACACACCAGAAGGGCACTGATATGAATTTTGAGCCAGCCATCATATAGTATCTATCTGCCACAGACCCCTAGCTCACACCACATACAAAATAATTTTCAGATGGATTAAAGAAGCATAGGTAAAAAACAAACCTATGCAATTATTAAAAGAAAGAAAATATAGGGATGTACTTCTATAACCCTGGAGTAGGGAAGGCCTTTTTAAGAAAGGCAAAAAATCTAGAAAATATAGACATATTTTAAATTAGATTTTATTGCTTTCCACATTGTAAGAAAGTAATTGGTACTATCATACTTAATGATGAGAAACTAAATGCTTTCTCCCTAAGATTGGGAACAAGGCAAGAATGTTGCCTTTCTCCAGTCCTATTCAACGTTGTCCTGAAAGACATAGCTAATGCAATAGGACAAGAAAAGAAAAAGAAAGGTATACAGAATGGAAAGAAAGAAAATAGTTTTGTTTGTGAATAATGTGGTTATGTAGAAAATTTCAAAGAATCGACCACAAACTCCCAGAACTAATACATAAGTGCAAGGGGCAGCATACAAGGTTAATATATAAAAGTCAATCGCTCAGCGCCAGGCCTGCCAGACACCTGTGCCCTCCTGCAGCCACCTGCTGCTGCTGCCGCTGCAGCCGCCAGCATGTTGGGCCCAGATGTCAGGACGCCCTCCACCATCCAGATCATGCAGCCAGATGACACCAACATAGCCAGCAATGTCCACGGGGGGACCATCCTGAAGATGATCAAGGAGGCGGGTGCCATCATCAGCACCTGGCAATGCAACAGCCAGAACGGGGAGCGCTGTGTGGCCACGCTGGCTCAGGTTGAGTGCACCAACTTCCTGTCGTCCATGTGCATCGGGGAGGTGGCCCACGCCAGCGAGGAGATCACCTCTACCTCTAAGCACTTGGTGGAGGTGCAGGTCAACGTGTTGTCTGAAAACATCCTCACAGGTGCCAAAAACCTGACCAGTAAGTCCACCCTCTGGTATGTGCCCCTGTGGCTGAAGAATGTGGACAAGGTCCTTGAGGTGCCCCCTGTGGTGTATTCCCGGCAGGAGCAGGAGGAGGAGGGCTGGAAGCGATATGAAGCCCAGAAGCTGGAGCACATGGAGACCAAGTGGAGGAACCGGGACATTGTCCAGCCAGTCCTCAACCCAGAGCCGAACACTGTCAGCTACAGCCAGTCCAGCTTGATTCACCTGGTGGGGCTTTCAGACTGTACCCTACATGGCTTTGTGCATGGAGGCGTGACCATGAAGCTCATGGACGAGGTCGCTGGGATTGTGACTGCACGCCACTGCAAGACCAACATCGTCACAGCTTCGTGGACAACATTAATTTCCACGACAAGATCAGAAAAGGCTTCGTCATCACCATCTCAGGACGAATGACCTTCATGAGCAATAAGTCCATGGAGATCGAGGTCTTGGTGGATGCCGACCCTGTTGTGGACAGCTCTCAGAAGCGCAACCGGGTGGCCGGTGCCTTCTTCACCTACCTGTTGCTGAGCCAGGAGGGCAGGTCGCTGCCCGTGCCCCAGCTTGTGCCCGAGACCGAGGACGAGAAGAAGTGCTTTGAGGAAGGCAAAGGGCAGTACCTGCAGATGAAGGCGAAGCGACAGGTCCACGCGGAGCCCCAGCCCTAGACACCCTCCTCCCGCTGTAGCCATGGCAACAGGCCCAGCATCCAGTCACTTAGAAGATACCCCCTTGGCCAGAAACCCAATTCACATTGAGAGCTGGTGTTGTCTGAAGTTTTTGTATCACAGTGTTAACCTATATTCTCTCCTGCAAACCTACACACCAAAGCTTTATTTATATCATCCCAGTGTTGATGCTACAGTGTTGTCCCAAGTGCCGGGAGGCATTCCATGGAAACCCTCAGGAATGCTTCCAAGCACACTGTAAGGTATGGGGAGAACCCAGCACCACTAATAAAGCTGCTGCTTGCTTGGGAAAAAAAAAAGTCAATTGCTTTCTTATATAACAGCAATTAACAACTGGAATTTGACATTAAAAACACAATGCCATTTACATTAGAACCAGAAAGAAGGAAAGATAGAAAAAAAGAAAGAGAAGGAATGAAGGAAAGAGGAGAGGGAGGGAGGGGAGGGAAGTAAGGAAGACAAGCTGACTTAGTCATAAATCTAACAAAATATATACAGGATCTGTGCAAAGAAAACTACAAAACTCTGAGGAAAGAAAACTCTGGTAAATAAATGGGTAAATATTTCATGTTTATCAATAGGAAGACTCAATATTGTTAAGATGTTAGTTCCTCCCAACTTAACCTATAAATCTAACACAATTTCAATAAAAACTCCAACAAGTTATTTTGTGGTTTTCAACAACTTGATTTAAAAATTTATATGGCGAGGAAAAAGACCCAGAATATCCAACACAATAATAAAAGAGGACAATGTCAGAGGACTGACCCTACCTGACTTTAAGATACTGTAAAGCTACGGTAATCAAGACTGTATGGCACTGGCGAAACAATAGGCATATCAATCAATGGAATAGAATAGAGAGCCTAGAAATAGACTAATACAAATATAGCCAATTAGTCTTTGACAAAGGAGCAAAGGTAATTTAATGGAGAAAAATCTTTACAACAAATAGTGCTGGAGCAATTGGTACAAATGCAAAATTAGTGAATCTAGGCACAGACCTTATAAACTTCACAAAAATTACTTTAAAATGGATCATAGACCTAAGTAAAATTGAAATCCACAAAGTTTTTAGCAGATAATATGGAAGAAAATTTAGGTGACCTTGGGTTTGGTGACGGTGTTTTAGATACAACACAAAAAACGTGATTCATGAAATAAAAAAAATTGCTAAGTTGTACTTCATTAAAATTAAAAATTTCTGCTCTGTGAAGGACACTGTTAAGAGAATGAAGGACAAGCCACAGACTGGGAGAAAATCATTGCAAAACACATATCTGATAAAAGACTTGCATCCAAAATACAAAAAGGACTTAAAGCCTAATTTTAAAAGTTCTGAATAAGCACCTAAATAAAGAAGACACACAGATGGCAAATAAGCATATTAAAATATGCCCAATGTCATATGCCACTAGGGACTTGCAAACTAAAACAACAATCAGATATCACTATATGCCCAACATGGCTAAAATCCAAAACACTGACAACACCAAATGCTGGTTAGGACATGGAGTAACAGGAACTCTCATTTATTGCCAGTGAGAATGCAAATAATACGGCCACTTTTTTTTTTTTTTGAGACAGTCTTACTCTGTTACTTAGGCTGGAGTGCAGTGGCATGATCTCAGCTCACTGCAACCTTCACCCCCCCGGTTCAAGCAATTCTCGTAGCTCAACCTCCCTAGTACCCAGGACTATAGGTGGGCACCACCATGCTCGACTAATGTTTTGTATTGGTAGGGCCACTTTGAAAGATAGTTTAGCAATTTGTTACAAAGGTAAACATAGGCTTACCATAAAATCCAGCAATTGTGCTCCTAGGTGTTTACCATAATGAGTTAAAAATTTGCCCATGAAAAAACCTGCACATGAATATTTACAGCAGCTTTGTTTGTAATTGCCAGTAATTGGAAACAACCAGGATATTATTCTTCAATAGATAAATGGATAAACAAACTGTGGCACATCAGTACAATGGAATATTATTAATCATTAAAAAGAAAGGAGCTATTAAGCCATGAAAAAGCATAGGAGAACTTTAAACGTGGATTGCTAAGTGAAAAAAGCCAGTCTGAAAAGGGTACATGCTGTTTGATTCCAATGATATGACACTCTGGAAAGGGCTAACTATAGAGATAGTAAAAAGATCAGTAGTCTCTAGAGATACAGGGGAGAGTGGGAGGAATGAATAGAGCATAAAACATTTTTAAGGTGATGAACTATTAAGGTAATACTGTTATGGTAGATATAGGGTACTATGTATTTGTATAATAGAGTATAAAACATTTTTAAGGTGATGAACTATTCTGTGTAATACTGTTATGGTAGATATACGGTGCTATGTATTTGTCATCATACATTTGTCACATAAAATTGTACAACACAGAGAATGAACGTTAATGTAAACTACAGACTTTAGTTAATAATAATGTATCAGTACTTGTTAATCAATGGTAACAAATACCACACTGATGCAAGGTGATAATGATAGGGGTGTGCACATGCATGGGGTTGGAGAGGGTGCAGGGCATATATGAGAACTCTGTATTTTCTGCTTAATGTTTCTGTAAGCTTTATACTGTTCTAAAAATATATCTATTAAAATGTTTTAAAACAATATACTTGGAGAAAAGTTGAGCAGAAAATATAACAGACAATAAGGTAACTACACATTCTAGTTTTCTCAGAACACTTCTAGTTTATATTTGTTGTCCTGGTGTCCCATCTGGCTTAGGATTTGTCACTCTCAAAGTGTGTCACTTTGGACAATAGCTTGTATAATTGCCCTGGACAAAAGTTGTTATTGTTAACATATTAAAAACTATTATAAAGTAATAAGATAGTCCAGAAGAAAAATGGGCAATATATGTGGACAGGTGTATTAGTTTGATTCCATAAAATCCCACAGATAGGTGGCTTAAACAACAGGAATTTATTTTCTCACAGCTCTGCAGACTACAAGTCCAAGATCAGATATTGGCAGGTTTGGTTTTTTTCTGAGCCCTCTGTCTTCAGCGTGCAGATGGCTGTCTTCTTGCTGTGCCTTTCCGCTATGTGTGCTCAATTCTGTGTCCTAACTTCTTTTTGTAACACTAGTCACATTGGATTAGAGCCTACCCATATGACTCATTTTACATTAATTACTTATTCAAAGGCCCTATCTTGGCTGGGAGTGGTGGCTCACACTTGTAATCCCAGCACTTTGGGAGGATGAGGCAGATGGATCATCTGAGGTCAGGAGTTCAAGACCAGCCTGACCAACATGGTGAAACCCCATCACTACTAAAAACACAAAAATTAGCTGGGCATGGTGGTGCATGCTTGTAATCCCAGCTACTCGAGAGGCTGAGGCAGGAGAACAGTTTGAACCTGCAAGGCAGAGATTGCAGTGAGCCGAGATCACGCCATTGCACTCCAACCTGGGCAACAAGAGCAAAACTCTGTCTCAAAAATAAAAATAAAAATAAAGGCCCTATCTTCAAATACAGTTATATTATGAGATGCTGGGGACAAGGACTTCAACATGCAAATTTTGGGGAGATTCTATTTAAGGTTGGCAAGAATGTAGGAAAATGCTATTAGTGAGAGAAATAGATACAGCTTTTTTGGAGGTGAACTTAGCAGCCTCCATCAAAATGAATATATGCATATCTTTTGACCCAGAAGTTTCACTTTTGAGACTTGATCCTACAGAAATACTCAGAGAGGCTCAAAGAAGCATGGCTGGGTATGGTGACTCATGCCTGTGATCCCGGCACTTTAAGAGACCAAGGCATGTGGATTGCATGAGGCCAGGAGTTTCAGACCAGTCTGGGCAACATGGCAAAATCCTGTCTTTACAGAAAATACAAAAAGAGCTGGGCATGGTGGCACACACTCATAGTCCCAGCTACTCAGGTGGCTGAGGTGGGACGATCACTTGAGTCCAAGAGGTGAAGGTTGCAGTGAGCAGAGATCACACCACTGCACCCCAGCCTGGGTGACAGTAAGACCTTATCTCAAAAAACGAAACAAACAAACAAAAACAAAGAGGCACGAATAAAGATATTAATTACAATATTTCTTGTAATAATAAAAATTTGAAAAAAATATTTAAGTTTCTATTGATAAACAAATAAGCTATGGTATATCTATACTGTGGAATACTAAACTGAGGTTAAAAAGAATAAGGTAGATCTATGATAAAACGAATATCATGTGATATCTGATGAATAAAGTAAACCTATGATAAATGGAATCATGAAACATATTAAGTAACTCAAAAAGAGAGAACAAAGAACAAAGAATAAATGGAATAACTAGAATACAAATAGAAATATGGTAGATTTAAACTCAACCATATCAACAATTACATTAAATGTGAATGATCTAAACACCACAATTAAAAGGCATAGATTGTCCGGTTGTGTTTTTTAAAAAAATCATGATCCAACTATATACTGCCTACAAAAAAAGCACTTTAAATACAGTCATAAATAGGTCAAAAAAGAATAATATCATAAACATATATCCTGCAAATTTAATAAAAAGAAAGCTGGAGTAGCGATATTACTATCATACAAAGCAAATTTCAGAGTAAAAAATATTTCCAAGGATAAAGAAGTTTATTTCATAGTGACAAAAGGATCTATTTATCAACAAGACATAGTAGTCTGAAATGTACATGCACCTAATAAGAAAGCTGACTCAAAATACATGAAGCAAAATGAGATAGAACTGCAAGGAAAAACAGACAAATGCATAATTATAGCTAGAGATTGTAAATCCTCTTGTTCTTATTTTGTAATTTTCTATTCTTGTTATATGGGAACCTCCTTTATCTGTTTCACTTTTTAATCAAATGTAAGGCCCTTTCAGATCACTTTTTAGTCTCTAGTTCCTCTGATGTGTGTTATTCCATTTGTTGAGTCAGTAGAATATCTTATCTTGGCACTTGGAACTTTCCCATCTATTTTATAATTTTTGTGTGTAAGCTCATCTTCAATAAGTGTTATTTTTCACAGGAATTCTGTAAGTGCCTTGAGTTATTAAGGCCTTCTTATGGGGTTATTTCACTATTCTTCTACTCTTTTTGGGATTTGTCCTTTCTGACCCTCTGTGGTTACAGGTTTCTGCTTCATTTCTGGTACCTGGAAATTTTCTTTTTCTTGCTTTTGATCTTAGTTATCTTTTAAACTGAAGTTTTATATACAATGTAATAAAATGCTACAATTATATAACATTTCACTGTTTGGAACAGATTTGGGAAACTCCCATGTCTGATTAAATTTTAGCTTTGACTGGGTGTCTTAATGTG